CCCCAAAACCCCAAAACCCCAAAACCCCGTGAGAAGTATCTAATTGATAAAATGTTGAATAAAAGTAAAAGTATCTAAATTAAGTAATAATGATTTAATGAAATCAGCAATATTTGTTTTTATCAAGAGCCAGATAATTTGTATTAACTAAAATATTGAGCAGATTAAATTTTTAGAGACCATCGACTGTGTTGAAGCAACCTACTAGCCAGGTATTACTCTGCTTCATGTTATCATTCTAGAAAGGGCATGAAATTTCAAATCTTTTTTCCTTTTCAGGTGATCCCATTATGAAAGACACTTTAGGATCAAATTTTGCAAAATCATTGCTAAAGTCAGTTTAATTTTCGTACTTATCTTGCTATTATATTGAAACCGCCAATAGATAAGTATAATTTTTGCCATATTGATTGAATTTAAGCAAAGACACTGGATTATCATACTTCAAATCAGTGTAATATAGGACTCCGCCACATTATCTTTGAAACACTCCTACATCACACTGATGCGCATTTTCTGTGTTAAAATTCAAAAGCATATTTAAGTCCAAACTATTTAGCTTTTTATATCTTAATTAAATCCACAAAGGCCCTTAAATGCTTTCATAATATGGTAAAAGATATAAGTTGGGAAGTTTAGGTGTATTTATTCCCATTACAGGGTGTGAAATGAAATCCTTGTAATAATTAGTCTTATTTGCAAATATAGAATAGTAGTCTTTGACTAATCTCAAGAATTTGAATTAGCCATTAGATTCAGATGATTCTGATCTTAGTACTGGAGCATATTCTTATGCCAATACTGGATCATTACCCTCTCTTATAAAGATGTTTGCATTTTGAATATCTCCATAATACTGCCCATTTTTTACTTGAACAACTATATTTTGGTCTCTTTGTGGAATTGAGCTGTCAAAAGTTATGATTTAGTTTCCTAAAGAGATAGATTTTTGAGAAATTGCACCAAAGTTCATGATACCTCCAATTTAAATTTGCTTTGTTAGTACCTCAAAAGTAGGAGAATCAGGAGAATTTGAGAACAATAGATCAAGTGTATAGGGTTTATTTCCAATTATTTATGGAGTGTTAAATACAAATAATCCAGTTTCGTCAGTTGATATTGGTTATGAGCTCCAAGTTTTACATTCCTAAATTGGCAATAATTTTGTAAAACATACTTACAAAAAGATTTGAAGATAACAAAATTTGTGCGTTTTTTATTGGGATTGTTTTCTCAGCATTTTACTGTAATAAAAGTTTGCCCATTACCTTTATATCTGATCTCTTATCAAATGCATAGTTTATTTATCTAGTATCTTATTAAGTTACTTTTTACTTACTTTTGCATTATCACGTGCTCACCTTTTCCGTTAATGCTCACACTGGAGCCCATGTCAGCATATACAATCTACCCACTACCTGACTGTCCATTTACTGGATATGCAGTTATTCTTACAGACAATGTGTTATCTAAGTCAAATGGACAAAGTGGTTTGTATTCAAACAGGTCTAAAGCTTCATTTACTCCATTTAGTGGCCCTCTAAATTGCAACTAATAGCCTTATATTTTTGTATCTTTGTTGTATAAAACTGAGTTTTAGGTAATGCTTACGAGATCTTTGTCGAATTCTGGATTCAATCGAAGTATACCCTTATTGACTTCTAAGCTTACTAAAAAAGCGAGGTCTATGCATGAGTTACCACAAGATCTTTTATCTTCTCTAATGATAATGTCGAAAATATCAAAGTAGCCGTCGAAGTTAATATATTTCTAATCGATATTTGCTGGTCTTATAATCTCATCAAACTACTACACATTTAGGTTTGGCATAAAAGAGGGTCCAGGTTGCATTGCAACAACAATGTAAAATATTGCGATTACAGGAACCGCTAAGATCATAGAAATCATAGTTTTTTCCTAATGCCCATGACTTAATTACCTGTTGACGTATATTTGAAGATAAGTCATCAGTGTCACTAGTGTGGTATAATTAGCAAATCCTAGAATTGGGAGTAATAAGCTCAGATAAATCAAATAATCGAACTTAGATCTGACATATTGCAATGTTGCTTCACAGCATTGATTATTCAAGCAACCCACTTTCTTTTGCTGATCCCATTTATCTGAATACTACTCCTCCCATACTAGTCTAGTAGCATCAAGACTGCAGTTTGACCTTTGCTGTAAATCAGGCACTGACGTTGATGTGACTGTATACTTAGTCGAGCATTCAAACTGCTAATAATCGCTCTCATTTATAGAGTGCATAGCTTCATAGCATTTGAAGTTATTCTCATAGTCATTTATGTCTGAGACAATAAAGAAAGTAAAGATAAACATAAGCAAAAATGCAATCATCTAAATACTGCCTAAAATTTGCATAGCATGGACTCTATCTTTGTAAATAGCAAATGTTTATCCAATTGTCATGCATATAATCAAAATAGCAAGATAATAGTTAGCAGAGATTGGCCACTCTCTTACAAATTCAGTAATTTCGTAGTAACTCCAAAATTATTTGACTTAGCAACAGTATGCTAGAATTAAGCAAGCAATAACTATCTAGAAAAAATTCATGTATTGATTGGACATATGATAGTACTGATACTTCCTTGAAATCTAGAAACTGCTGATAGATAGGCTTAAAGCTGCAAGAGCAGAGATTATACATAATGCTCCAGTCCCGTTAAGAATCTAAGTCCAATCGCTTATTGAAGAGTCAATTTGTTCTTAATAGTCTGAATTTAGATTTTTGCTGTCATCATATGCTAATCTGTCAAATAGAAATGCCTTTACGTATGCTAAATGTAAATTTCTCATTGCCAAGCACATGACTCCCACAGATAGGTAGATAATTGAGAAGGTCAAATTAACATAGAAGTAAAGAAACTGTCTCATCAACTATTTATCGTCCAAAATATTTTAAAGATTTTATTATTAGCCTCTGTTTTGTGAAAGTCTTTTTCCTACTTTAATGTCCTTTTCTAACCTATAATTAAATTATCAATAAATTTATGAGGCTAATTTACAAATGAGAAATGTAATAACCTAATAGCCCACTAATCAGGGTAATAATTGCTATAAGTCCTGTGAGATTCAATATAGGTACACTTATTCTTGCATATGTTATCCAGCTCAGTAGAACTATAGCATTTTAATTGATTATAAATACCAATAGAGATAGAGAGGACGCAAAAGAATAGAGCAATAACTTTTTATATTTGAACTCTGACAATGATATTATTTATGTCTTTATAGGTAAGTATCTCGTCATCCACATCTATTGAAAAAGTTAAACTAAGTGTTTACCAATGATATTTAGCTTTGCCGATCGTTTTACTTTGTATTGCTCATCAACATAATCCTAATTAAGTTCATCATCTGTGTTTATATTATCATGCATGCCCATTACCTGATCTCTATCTTCATAATCATTTAAGTCATTATTCTTTCTTAAAGATGTTACTCTTCTCCTGATATCGCTTCTCTTATCGTTAACCACTAGATCTTCCTCCTTAGACTAACCTCTACCTGATGGATTATATTGGCTGTTTGTTAAGTCAATAGTTTGAAATGGAGATTTGTTAAACGAATTATCTTGCTTTTTCATATTTATTGCTTTATAATTTCCTAAATTCTAAATCAATTATTTCCTAAAAATTCATCTCTCGGGGTTTTGGGGTTTTGGGG